ATCAGATTTGGATTAAGAAACTCTTTCCTAATTGCATTAGGAAGCTGATCCAAAGAATGCTATAAATAGGGGGCGAATTCACTAGTTTATGTATTCAACAATCTACACAGTTCTCCTCTAGTTCTTGTTGCCCCTACCCAATTCGATTTTCACCTTTAGATATGATCAAGAATAGTTATTGATATTGTTTATTGTTAGAAGAAACAATCTAAAGCCGTGCACACCAACCCCTTGCGTGATTCTTGCTGAAGAATCACTTTGTTAATCTTGCCTCACCATAAGCTGTGTCATCTTCAGTAGAGGTGGGTTTTAGTCGCCTCTTTGGGCATGAACACCTAAGTTGGGAATTACTATTATTCCATATTAAGTACATTCCTACTTGCTTCCTTTTGGTTTCAGATTTGGTCTGGTTTGTTTCAAGAACGAACTTTGAAAAATACAATTTTTCTAAATTAGGAAATAGGATTCCCGGATGAAAAAAAGAAATTTTTGAAATTTTACCCAATTACCCTGCATGATTCGATCATCCATATGATGAATCTCTCATCCATTTAGTCAATTATATGAATAATATTGATTTTAATGCCTAATAACACTTGGCATTGGTTGGAACATATAACCTATTCATATGTGTCCATATCAGCTTTTATGAGCCAAAACAGACCTGATATGGACCCGATAGTAATAAAATGTCTGTATTGACCAATTAATATAGAGGAATATTTTAAATCTATTCAATTTTAAATTTTACCCATTAACAAAATATAATTTTACATTACTTGCTATCGTAGTCACAGAACAACTCAGTAGCGACCCCTAGTGAAAAAAAAAAGAAAAGAACAAATACACCACCATCTACAATTAATTCAATATATCACATCAGTTGATTTTTTTTTTTTATTTCAAATGTCACTGGGGTGGCTGAATTGAATTCACATCTGCGCCGAATTATTTGTAACTGGTCTCAGATAATGTTTTTCAAGAAATATATCTTACTGTGCCTAACAATGACTTTGCATTACATCACTTTCATAATTTAATTATTGAATAAGTCAAATTAGATATACATAAGACGAAAAATTCAGCATCTAATTAAATGACATAAAGCCTTCGGGCATTTTCAAAAAATAAAAAATAAATAAATGACATAAGGGCACAGGTGGGAGCGGTTTAGAACAGGTTGAGGTTAACCGTAATCCAACCCGTTGAACCCCAACGCTAATCCTAAGTTCCTAACCTATACTCTAGCGGCCAACTCCCAACCCCGAACCCAACTTTGGGTTGGGTTTGGGCTGGTCCATTTTTTATTTCATTTTGCTAAAAAAATGTTACAATTAGGATTTAGCCGGTTTAGGTTTAATCATGTACCAACAAAGTTATTGTGCTTTAAGTGTCATATTTATTATGTACATATACATTCATTAATACATGTATATATGAATGGACGCATTACCTATGTTAAAAATGAAGACATGTTAGATATGGGTAGGGTCTGATTGCTAATTTGGGATTTTTTACCAACAAAACATATTTCAACACTCTTCTAACATGATGCAACATTGTATCTCTTACCATGAGATATTGTTGACATGTGATTCAGACTCGCCCTGAACCGTAAACCAAGTTAGGTTCATATTTTTTCAACTGACCCTAATACAATATCAACCTGATCATCTGACTTTTTTGGGTGTGATTCAGGTTAACCCCAACCCAATTTGCACCCTTAGAAGATGAAGCCAACTCTAACACAAGTAGATTAGGTTAGAATTTCAATAGAAGATATCCATCACCATCATCATCATCTAATCCTTGTACCATATGTGACCAGCTACATCAAGGTTAAAAGTATTGATAATGTACCATACAATACATATGTTTTTAGGGTATATATGTGTGTGTGTCCCGATATCATAGTTGAACCCATGCTTGAATTATTAAAGTGAAAGATAAAAAAGAGTATTGATGATTAAAAAATACTAGAAAAAAGTGGATTTTTGCGCATTTGACATAATGCTTTGATTTAGTTACATGAATCCTATTTTTCCATTTCATTTTATTTAGTGCCATGTCCATCATTAAATAATGGAAACATAAATTACTTTTTATTACTTCCACTCACATCCGTTTTGGTTTTGTTCTAGATCGATCCTTTAACTTGTAAATGATCATTTTTTTTTTCATAATAGACTTTAATAATTTTGAAGCATTCCCTTTTTCACTTTTGTAGCAACAAGAATGTTACTTCACTTTTGTAAAGTGAATTAAAATACTGTATTTTCCTTCTGATCATGATAATACAATTTTACATTAACTTCTCAAAAAAGAAAAAAAAAAACCAATAAAAACATCCAATAGGCAATTACCAATAAAAATTGAATTTAGTCTTTTAATTAAGAATCCAATTATGATGCATTTTCAAATATTTGCTACATATTAAATTAAAATATCAACCAATTATGCTAAAAATGTCACATGGACTATTTACTTTTTATTGATTCATATTATACTAGTTCACATCTGCCCCCCACAGAACGTGCCCCAAAAATACCCTACATGCATTGAGAACATTTTCCATGCTTGTCATTGAGAGATGTTCCCAAAAAACGGTTGGGATATGCTGTGGTACGTTTTTGGGGCACATTTTGTACATGAAGGGGCAGATGTGACTTCACATTATACAAGGTAGTATTGTACAAAACTACAAATAATAACTTTTAACAACATTAAAGATGTCATTATGATATGACACTTTTATCACTGGTTCACATAGACTATTTAGGTTTGAGTTATATTGCAACAATTTCCAAATTTCCATCGAATGCACCATAGGTTTTGCCCTTGAAGCAAACACTAAGAAAATTTGAAGATTCTACGAGATCTTGAGAGGGAGAAAGGTTGGATCAAGCCCAAACTGAGACCAACCCAATCCTGGTTGACCTTTAAACTCACCTAACCCAATCTGACTTGCATCCAGCGGTGGAGTTAGGAATTTTCTTTTGGGGAAGCTAAGTTAAACTAGAAAATGAAAGAGGGAGTAGAAGAGGTAGGGTTTCAAGAAAAATAGGATTGGAAAGTTTGGATCTATTACAGATATTTTTTAAAGTAGGGTTTCCTTGGTAACATCCATAATTTCTAACTCTAACCATCAAATGTTTTGATCATTTTGCAGGATTCATGATACAATAAGGCTGTGTTTGGTTACATGTTTCCCTCTTTTTTCTTTCAAACCAAATACAATCCAAAGGTGCTCCCTCTCATAGAATCAATGAGGTGCCATATTAAACTTTCATTGCACCATACAATTTCAAGTGGTGGTGGGTAGGGCTATCAATGGGTTGAGTCTACCTGATAGAACTGAACTGGTCATGCCAATTCTGGTCTCAATTAATAATTGGATCATGACTGGTTCTTTCTACTCTGAACTGATTCAGACCCGAATAGATGACATTGTTAATAAATATAAAATCCTCTTAGTTTTTCTGTTATATTTCACATCCAAAAGGATAATTTTTATAAATTATATAAAATAATTTTGGTTAAAAACACTTGTTTTACCAACATAATCATTTTTATTGATTATTATATTATTAAAAATAAAATTTTAATTTATTATCATAACTAATTATAGATCTAAAGTATAGTTGAGTCAAACACAATTGTCCCGATTCATAAATGAAACAGTTCTAAGTTGGAGACGAATAATAATCAGTTCAAAACTGGTACAGCCCTATCTCAAACCAGACCGACTCATTGACAGTTGTAGGGGGTGGGGCGAACCTTGTTTCAATCCATCCACATGAAGTGGATGTATTATTGACCGGAGCCCGGTGGTCTTAATGCATCATGTCTTTCAAATAATGGGGACATAGAAAAAAATAAAATATGGGAAATTGTCCAAAATTCACCATGAGTTTTCAGCATTTCTCTTAAATTCACCACAATTTTTCAAATTGTCTAAAGCTCACCATGTCACTAACTTGACGTTAGACAGATCAACGGGTGTTAATATATTATCATTTTAACCTTCATAAAAAATATAAAATATATACAAAATAAATTAACGGGTGTTAATATATTACCATTTTAATATTTAGATATGAAAAAGGAAAATTTTCAAAAAAATATTTTCAAATATAAAATACATAAAAACATAGAAATTATAAAAAATATAAAAAATGATTTTCAAATTATAGAAACTATAGAAATTGAAAAACAAAATCAGAAAATAAAAAGTGTAGAAAAGACACCAAAAATTATAGAAAAACACAGAAATTGCAAAAAAAAAAAATACAAGAAAATTTATAGATTGTAGAAAATAGAAAAATGTTAAAAAACAGAAACTATAAAAAACATTGGAAATTATAACAAAACACTAAAAATGCAAAAAAAAAAAAAAAAAGAAAGACCATTTTTCCTCTAATTCACCATTTAAGGGTAATTTGGTCATGAAAATTGTTATTTATGCTGACATGGACACCTCTGTTAAGAAGCATTAATGGTGTACTAATGGGAATGTGAGTTTTAAAAAATAAAAACTTTCTTACATTGTGAGTTTTAGACATTTTGAAAAGTTGTGAGTTTTAAGAGAAATATTAAAAACTCATGGTGAATTTTAGACAATTTCCCATAAAATATTGGTTTTAAAAAGACCATTATACCCTTTTACATAATCAATTAATCATATCTCAACTTCTGACTTGTGAGAGGACTCCGTCACTGAGTCTGAGGAGTGCTCCCCAGTCTTGGAAAGGGCGTGTGGGTAGCGTGGTGCGTGTTTATCACCGAGAAAACTTTAGTTGCCCACGTTCGACAGCACAGCCTGTGCTGTGCTGACTTCACGGTCCGTCCGCAATACGCAGCCTCCACGGTCGGGACTCGTTTCTCCTCTGTCGGTCGTTACAAGCTTAGCCCAGAAACCAAATCGGACCTAATATATTAAGACTGAAGATAGTTTAGCCTTTAGGTCTTCAGTCACCAAACCGCATTTCCAGTTTCAAGTTTGAACGATTGAATTAATCAATATCCACAGTTCCACACCAAACAGCATGTCTCCACGTTCCACATGTCCACCTCCATCCTCAATAAAAGTAGCCGTTAGAGACCACGTTCCTAATTTGCCGACACGGGAGTTCACCAGCCTCAGTATGAAAACATCATTTCAAGGCAAATAAAATAATTCCAAACGATCGTGCTTTCAAAAGCGCGAGCCTTCAACTGTTGCCTTGAATTCAATATGTCTCTTTTCAAAACGTCTCTATTTGCTTGAATCATATGATTCCAATCCCACGCTTCGAAATTCGTTCTTAGATGAGTACGCCCATCTGTGCGGAGAATTATTTACGGTTTTTTTTATACTAAATGCCAAATCGTAACATCTACAGTTCCTCTTTACTTCATCATCCGAAATCCCTTTAAGAGAGAGAGAGAGAGGGAGGGGCCCGTCTCATCTCATCCCAACCACCACTCTATTGCGAATTCCCCTGCGAAAGGAGATCCCCTTCCTTTGTGTTATCTTCTGTAAAGGGTGTATTTTCAGTGAGAATCTCACTGTTCAATTTGCCTAGAACGGGCATTCTGGTATCTTCTTTCTTTGATTGAACTGGAAGCAAGCGGAAACTTAGTATCTCTCTCCTGCTCATCTTCAGATCTGCTGCATGGCTTCTCTCTGAGGTTATTTACCAGTTCTAATCAAACTCGGGTGTTGTTTATCTTTCTTCATTGGAGCCTTGAGCGTTAACTCAAGAGTATGATCCTTTCAACTTCTCTTTAATGAATTCTTGTATCTCTCGATTTTTTTTTTTTTGTTTCTTATTTCTCAGTTAACATGTTTCTGCTTCTAATTGTTATGGTTTGTTTCTATTTACCCGTCCTAGACAAGAAAAATGATAACTTTTCTGGGGCGCGGTTTAGTTGTTAGAACCTGTCTGGTTCTTATTTGCAGAATCTCCGAATTGTACTCTGCTTCTTAATTCTCTTAACTTTTGATTCAACTTTGTATCTGCATGATTGCATGGCACTTGTCAAGTTAAAAGGCTTAGGGGGCCATTCTTTTCACGGTATTCTCTTGTGTACGTCGGTGGTGCTTGGTTCAACTCTATGATGTGACTCAGGTGGAGTAAAGTTGGTTTTCAGTGGCGCTGAATCTTTGTAGACAAAGTGGTTTTTCCAAATTCTGCAGCATATAGATCTCTTCTGAATGGGGGGGGGGGGKGGTTCTTTCATTACCAATAAAGTCTCTTTGATCGTTGTTAATGATCCAAAGAAAAACGTGGAATTGAACAATGGGCTTGTTCAAAGGTTTTGGACGCCTTGTGGTTGTGGCACCTTTGTATAAAGTGCTTAAAAGCACGTTTTTCTTCTATACAACTCCTGTCTAGCTGTAAAACTGCTGTGCAAGTGAGCCGTTTCAATGTCCTAGTTCCGTTCTCAATGTTTTCGGGGGCTTGAACGAGTAAATGGTGTTGTAAAGTCATCTGAAAGTAGGAAATTGATGGCTCCTATCAAGCTAGCCAACTTGTGATTGTTTACTCAATAGAAGACAACTTTATTGGCAAACGGAAGTGTGATTCTGATATCTTTCCCTTGAATGCATTGGAAGTTTTCTTGGTGTGTCTTTTGTTGAAGGTCAAGAATCCCAAGTACGTGAGTGGATGAGTTCTAAGGAGACCTCAGTATTTAAAACCCTGGCATCTTCTTTGGGCCTTAACTCAGGGAGTGAGGTAGAGACTGATAGTAATTTCTCTAACAGCTCCATTGACAGTCTGGGTTGTCTTACTGGTAACAGAAGGTCTAAGGCAATTGTGGATCTCTATGGTGATGTAGTGATCAAACCCTCTATTAGGGGGTCACACAGCACTTGTAGAAGAGGCAGAAGAGGAGGGAGAGGAAGAGGTTAAGTATCGAGGTGGTTTTTCTTTTTAGCTCGGGTGAGGTGTCTTTGTTGTCTTCTAGTACTTTGCCTTGTGGTCTGGTTCCACTGGTTTGGTTTTTTGGTCTTTTTAGGTTTGGGTGTTTTTGTGGGTTTTCCCGTTTTGTTTGTTAGGCCAGTTTCGAATCTGGCCTCTCGTCTTTTGTATACTTCTTGTATACTGTTCTTTGTTTCTAATAAATTATACCTTACCTATTTCAAAAAAAAAAAAAAAATTCTGAGATCTTTCCCTGACTTCACCCCACCTTGATCACCTCAAACAGATTACTGCTGCTTTTAGGATGACTCTATTAACTACATGCCCCATTATGGCAACAAGAAATGGGATTATCTCTTTAACGTTGTGCCTTCTACAAGGAAAATTTTCCAACCAATAAATTTTCTTCTTTAACAACATATGATGCATTCTATTCCCCTAAAACTCTTTTGTTCAATATAATCATGGCAATAGGTTGGTGATAAAGCTAAGGTATGTCTATATGATATTGGGGAGATTCCTGGTAAGGATCAAAAGCTATAGTTGGGAATATGGATGGGGATTAATTCTGTAGATTGTAAAATGTGGGGGTATAAGGTACCTAGGGGCATTTTTTTTTTCAGTTCAAAATTGAAAATAAGAAAGCTGTACCATAATTAACAATTAAAACACCAATGAAGAAGAATGATAATGTAGAATAGCAGTGAAAGGCCATTACTTGGGTGTAATGGTAAAATCTCGGGATGTCAAGCATGAGAATGCGGGTTCAAGTCTGGGAGTGACTACTTTATGTGAAAAAAATGCCAAAGGTTAGGACTGTATCCAGTGCACCCTCCCAAGACCCCAAATAGATGGGACCAACATTGGGTAATGGCCAAAGTGATGTTGCTGCAAGCTCAAACAATTAGAGGAGGGTATAAAGCAGAATATAAATAATAAAAGAGAACTAGTGAAGAAACGTACTCAAATCAAGATCCAATAAGAGCAAATAAACTACCTTAGTACACTAATGAATCTCATGACAGACGTACTTATCAAAAACTTGACTTGAAAATGAAGGCTTAAATTTAAATAGGGTGTGGCATCTTTTAAGAAAGTAAGGCGTAATGTTCAGTGCCCATGGTCTCCGTAGTTTTGCTGGAAATAGTTGCACCTAGAGAACTTCTGACAGTTCCAACTATCTCCTTTAAAATTTGGTTCCAGCTAAAATTCCCCAGCTCGAGACTTCTCTAGGGGGTGTCAGTCACAGTGGGCCCCACTGGTGCATGTTTTCTTCCCTCTGTGAATTTCTGCTTTGATTGACTGCGCCACTCGTTAGTAAGTTCATACTTGTATGTATTCCCAAACTCACTTGCATGCTTTGCTTTGACTGTAGGACCAAAACCACCACTCTTCTAGTTCTAGGTACAAGGGATGTTTCTTCTTCACTTTAAAATCCTTCATAGAATAACTCTTACCATAGCTACTGCTGAACACCTGCACTACTAAAGATTGACAAGAACATTCAAAACTAATCTTTAGATCCTATTATAGGCCCCATATAAAGTTGAGAGACATCTAAGAATGACCAATTTAGTATGCAAAAATTATAGAAAAACATCTAAGAATGACCAATTTAATGCAATGTAGTACATTGCTTTGTTCAGATCAAAGATTGACCCATATGCTCTACAGGCTTTTTGGAGTTTTTGGTCATAAGTCAAGCATTGAATTTTTTTTACCAAATTCTAACTATATGCTAATTGATTGATGAATTTTGAGATTCCCCAATTTGAGCATTAGGAAATTTTTGGGGTTTACATGGTTCCAAATATTAAATTTCATGACAATCAAATTCACTGGATTCAAAATTATGCCTCACATTTGTTTATGGGATTTCCAGGACTAATGGATCTCTTCTTTTTCCTACTTGAATTTGTCAAGTCTTTTCTTTTTTTTCCCATCTTTTGGTCTAATAAAATGTTAGTAGACTAATTAAGATCAAGCTCAAATCTCAATCATATCATGATAGCCTTCTCTCAGTAGTTATTGCTATTCTATGGGAAGCTTCCTAAGTTACTGAAATTATGGAACTTCATAATTAGATCACTTTAGCCTCTTCTAAATTGGTTTTCCTGTCCGCATAGTACACTTAGCTTGACTTTGTTTGCATTATTTGGACTGACCATTTGCCTTCATCTGACTACTAGAGCTTGGTAAAATGTTTACGATTCATTCTTGATGTAGCATTATAAATTTTCTTTGCTTGAGTTGTTAGCCTAATATTTTGTTCATTCTACCCAAACTGGTTATCTTTTCTCTGCTTGCTTACTAGTCGGCAAATCTTACTCATTTACAGGCAATTACATATCTTTTATTTCTAAAAACCACAAATGGCTACACTTGGGGACATAGGACTTGCAGCAGCCATCAATATTCTCAGTGCAGTTGCATTTTTACTAGCATTTGCCATACTACGACTGCAACCATTCAATGATAGGGTGTATTTTCCCAAATGGTATCTCAAGGGTTTGAGAAGTAGTCCGTCACATGTTGGTGCATTTGTACACAAATTTGTCAATTTGGACTTTAGATCATATTTGAGGTTTTTGAATTGGATGCCAGCTGCATTGCAAATGCCAGAACCTGAGCTTATTGATCATGCAGGACTTGATTCTGCTGTTTACTTGCGAATTTACTTGATTGGGTATGTCTTACCTCATATTTAATTTTTTCTTCTGTTCGCCTCTTTTTTATAGCTTGTCTTGTGTTAATGGTATAACATACCAATTTCACCTATGCTTTTTGAAGTGATTGGCAGTGTAAGGATGAAATGCTAGAGAAAACTGTGGTGATTTGTTAGAGATGATCAAATAAAAAATTACTATGGGTGAATATTTGTGGAGGCTAAGTCACTAGCCAAGTTATTCTAGCTATTATATATGCCAGTATTTGTGACTGCCCTATATTATTGCTTGTATTTTAGCTATCAGAAGTACATGATGCATATATGTATATACTTCTTTATATATCATTAGATGAATCAAAGAGAATATCCAACTTTTTGGCTGTTGACAGATGTTATTGTATGTACTATACACAAATTTAGTGCCCGTAGGGGTATTTTTGTAATTTCTATACCATTAAGTCTGCCAGCCTCTTCTCTCTTCTTCCTTCTTCTTCTTCCTTCTTCTCTTCCTCTTCTTTCTCTTGCTCAACATGGCATCAGAGCGGAACCGTCCAGGCTTGGAAAACAACCAGTTGAGGTCACTATATTCCTGATGTTCGAAGGCAAGGAAGAGAAATCATTCTCCAGTGCTGCGGTTAGTCTCCAATGCCGAGTAGAATCAGCTTGACTGTTCAACTTCCTAGCGTAGAAAAGGGTTCTGCTACGAAGTTTTTTTTCATCCTCCAGCCCAGGTGCTGGTATCTATAGTTGCTCGGCTGAGAAGACTGTAGAAAACTATCACCTGATGTACGAAGAAGGGTTCTGGCTTGCAAAGAAGATGGTGTCCAAGAGTGTACTGCCTATCCACTGTTCGGGTGACCTGGTACTCAATTGAAGTTTTTTTTATTGTTCTCTTCTTGCTCTCTTCGATGAACTGTTAATGTCCTAAAATCTGAGTAAGGTGACTGTTCGGCTACATTTTTTTTTCTCTTCTCTTGTGTGTTACTGCTATTCAACTACTCTAAGTAACTGTTGATGCCCTAAACACTCGGTGATTGTTCGGTTGCCCTGAAATTGGTATCAACCGATTAGGTGTGTGGTGAACTACCACTTTGTAAAACTGTAGGTCATTCAGACCTAGTTACACTGCAAGTGCAGTGTTCGTATGTTGTTCGTTCTGTGGACTCCTACAAACTGTAGGTCATACAAACTAGTACTGTAGCTGCAGTGTTTGTGCTTGGTTCTCTGTGAAATCGAAAATCAGGAAGTGCCTAGTTGTGGACTGTAGTAGCTCTGTAAGGCAGTGTGCCTTGGTTTTTGTGTACTCCTAAACCTGGAATCATGAATAGTGAAGATTCAGCCACATCCGGAATCTCCATAATGCTGAATGGAATGAGTGGGGGAAGTGACCTATCATTCCCTATGGCTGTTGTTCCTCTTGATGGGTTAAATTACCTAGAGTGGTCAAGAGGGATCAAGTTATACATAACTGCGAGGGGAAAAATAGGCTATATAAATGAAAGAATCAAAGAACCAGCTTCTGGAAATGCTGAACATGATAGATGGGATCAGGAGAATAGTATGGTTATGTCGTGTCTCTTGATCTCCATGCAACCACAAATAAGGAAGAACTTCATGTGGGCTGAAACTGCAAATGAGATCTGGGAACAGGCAAAATCCACATATTTTGAACTACGACACTATGCCAAAATCTATCAACTGCAAGCAGCATCATCTACTTGTCAACAAGGGGAGAGAAGTTTATCAGTTTATTAATCTGACTTAACCTATGTTTGGAAGGAGTTGGACCATTACCAGAATATTGATTGGAAGTGTGATGAAGATGCCAAATTGTATAAGAAACTCRTCTCACAGCAAAGAGTGTTTGCCTTTTTGCATGGTCTCAATCCWATCTATGAATCCATCAGAGTACAAATTCTCAGTTCTAAGGATCTTCCATCAATTCAGGAGGTCTATGCTCGTCCAGTCTGAAGAGAGTAGGAGAAACTTGATGAACAACACCGGAGGGGATGCAACTGTGTTGGCGGCAAAAGGGGGTGCCTCTACTAGTGGTGGATCTTCTTCCAGGAGAGGGGATCTCTAGAAGAAAACAGAAGATAAGGAGAAATTGTGGTGCACTAACTGTCAGAAGCCCCGACACACCAAAGATACTTGTTGGGATCTTCATGGGAAACCAAAATGGGCTCAAGATCTGCCTAAGAAGCAAGGCTCAGATGTAATTAAAAGGCCTGGGCAACAAGGTACCAAGAAACACCACATGGCCAACATGGTTACTCGGGAGAATCAGCCCTCCACTTCTACTGTGACTCAAACACCACATGGCCAACATAGCTACTCTGGATCTGACCCAAGGGAAGATATCTTAAACTCCTTCCGTAACCATCTGGTGCTTTATGGGTAGAACAATTCGCCAGATGGATGCTCCTCCCACAACCTCATTTGCATCCACGTTAGGTAATCCTGCCACAGCTTTCCATGTTGCTTCTCACAACCTTGACTCTCCATGRATCATTGATTCTGGAGCGTCAAAACACATGACTGGTATGTCCTCTTACTTTCAAACTTATCACCCTCTTTCTGGAAGAGATAAAGTGAGACTAGCTGATGGATCATACACTTCCATAGTTGGTAAGGGAACTCTCTCTTCCTCTCGGCCTTACACTTTCTGATGTTCATGTTCCAAAATTTCTTATGAATTTGTTCTCAGTCAGTAGTGTTACAAATTCCTTAAACTGTTCTGTGACATTTTTCCCTTCCTATTGTGTGATTCAGGATCTGGTTGATGGACTCTATATGGTAGGGGACGTATGGTTGATGGACTCTATATGCTGGAGAATACGGCTGGCCTTCATGTTACAGAGTCTTCTGTTCAGAAAGTGTAAAATGTA